TCAAAAGTGTCTTATACACTTTTCGCGACTCTATTCTAGCGTTACTTCCTTTTCGACCGGGTACAATGGGTTATCTGGAATAAGAGCAATAGGCGACTGCCCAGCTTGCATTGGCGAAATCTTTCCAATCTTCTCTAATAAAGCTATTAGTATTTGTCGTTAGTCCTTGTAATTGCACTATTCGCTTTCAGGTAATCGAATAACAATGAGGACATCGTATTGTTTGCTTTTTATTGTATTTAAATAAAAGATTTATAAATTTCATTTGTTGTTCTTTACAGATATTTTTGTTTTCTCATACAGGTATTTTACTTATTTTCTTGCCTTTCTTTTACAGGTATCTTGTTTATACTTTACGTTATATTATGTAATTGTAACTTATAATGATAGTTAAAATGTTTCTAAATTGATCTTTTGGCATAATTGTTAAAATTAAATTAAATATTTGTTAAGGCTTTCACAATTTCTACATTTGGGTGGATAGGGTGGCTATAAGGAGAGATGCGGAGACCACAGAAGGTTAGGGGGACTTTTTTCTCCTTAATCTTGTGTTTGAATGGTAATATAGTAGTTTCTAAGTAATGTAAGATTTTTTGTTGCATATAAATGTGGTTCGTGTAATGAATTGTAATGAAACTGGAATATTTTTAATCAATATTGTATAGTGCATTTTAATATAGATTTCCTTTAACAACATACTATTTGTTTTCAATCCTCAACGTTCTAAACATTTGACCTTGATTATATTATAAGCTGTTTAAATGTTAAAGCTGAAAGCTTATTTGCGTATCAATTCCGAGTGATTTACCCAAATATGCCATAAATGGGTAAATACCAGCGCGACCGCTCGCCAGCTTCGCTCGTCCGACCTGTAGGTACTTCTGTGTGCCAGAATCGGTTATCTTATACTACTCAGGAACATAATAATATTAACAATAGAGACTTAAACACCAGCAGCAGGCAACGAAAACCAAAACCGCAGCAGAAGTCCTCTACCAATCTCAGAGGACCATCTGAAATATGAATTAAAGGAGAGTAGGGAGAGAAGGAATAACATTGTCAGAAGTATTAACCCACGGGAGACCATTGATATGAAGGAATTTATCAACAGAATGGAAAACAGTTTGCAGTTGGATCCGAACAAACTGAGAGTTAAGTTTGGAAAATACAACGTGGCGATATGTGGAGTTGATAGCTTAGAGATGAAACTGGATAAACTGAAAAAAATAAAAATATTAATTATTTTATATGAGATATATACAGAGACGATGACCATACAAAAAGAGAAGTAGATATCCATCCAAAAGTGGATGTAAACAATAATGTGGCAAGAAAAAGAAAGAGTACATATAATGAAAATTGGATATTTGAAATTAATAGTAAATGTCAACGCGTTCAAATTTTACGAAAAAACGGCAGAAGTGGAGGCAATTTCCCTTTGAGGGTAACAAGTTAACCAGTGAATGTGGAGGAAACAAGTTGCTCAGTGTGTTAAGAGGAATATGTCAAGTAGAAGCGGGGAAGAGTCGGAAGGGGTTGTTCTGCCAGAATCGGTAGAAGTAACGGAAAATCGGAAGTTTATTTCTAGGAGTTGTGCTGGAGTATGGAATAAGGGTAGGGATTTTTGGGATATTGTTGAAGAATATAATTTCATCAGCTTATATGAAACCTGGTTAAAAGAAAAAAAACTGGATGACTTTCTAGAACAATACATCCCAAATCCTTCGCCACCGACAATAACCAGTGAATGTGAGGGAAATAATTGCGTTAAAGGGGATGAAAAATTCCCATCATGTGACCACATCAAATATTTAGATATCCCAGATCTTTAGCCACTAACAATAACTAAGGGAGTAATTGTATCAAATCCCCTTAATAGTCGATCCGGAGGAATGTCTAACTGATTATAGACCAGTTTTTGATGATATAGTTGAATCTGATGATATTCCATAGACGCCCACGTCGACATACAAAAATCTATAATTTGAATGACATCCAGCCAATATTATTATAGAAGAAATATTCGATGATCCAGGATGTTCGACAAGTCGATGAACAGTAGTGGCCAAAACGAAGAAAAACTGACAAAGGGACTATTGAAGAAGCATTAATAAATTTCACCATCACATTCACATCTATGAAATTATTTCTAGAAAGGAAATAAGTCATCTTTATATCATACATACTTATACTAAAAAAAAACTTAAAAATACAAAAATAAATATCAATAAAAAATACTTGAATTTAAAAAGAAAAAGCCAATGATGCTTTATCGATGTTCCATTTTCAGTGAAAATGGGGGTGTAAACCCATCATTAGCTGAATCTGCGAAGGCACTGCGATCATCAGTTGATAAAGTAGGTGAGGCTGTCTCATCCTTAACTGTATTAAAAATGGATGTTGCAGCCAAAAAGAAGTATATAAAGAAGATAAAATTAGACTTCTCACAGGTTGGAGCCATAAATAGTGAGATTACCAAAATGCAACAGGACGTTCAACAGTTAAAGAATGCAAGACTCCCATCTGGTACATCTAGTGTGCAACCTGACAGAGACACTGTTAGAGATATGCTTTGAGAACTAAAAGACTCCTTTCGACGCATCATGAATGAGCTTGTATTTGGTGTGTCTGAAGAGTTGGCGAAGGAAAAACCAAAAGACCTGGATGAGGTACAAAAGTTGTTCTCCTTATTTAAACTTGATACAACGCTGACATCCTCAAACGTCAAAAGATTGGATAAGGTAACTGAAAACAAGACCAGGCCTATTGTTGTCACTATGATGCAGCAGTATCGATGTAAATTCCGTACTCAGCGGATGGCATAAATTACCTGATGGTGTATCGGTGTCCATGGATTTGACAAAAAAAGCAAAGACAACTATATAAACAACTGAAGCAAGAGGCCAAAGTCTTCAACGAACAGAGCTCAGAAGAGAAAAAAATTGTCCGATTTATTTGTGTTTGTTTCAACCATACAGCTAAAAGACATTAAGAAACCTAACAAATCTACTTTCAGCGATATATCAAAAAACTGAATAAGTTTACCATTTATTACCAAAACGTAAATGGCTTGCGTACTAAGCTACCCACACTAAAAAACAATATTAATTTACTTGTTCCTCAGCCTACTGTTACTGCACTCACTGAAACAAATTTGCATTCAGCTATATTAAATTCTGAGTTGGGCCTAAAATATTACACTATTTATAGGAAGGATAGATTTACTCATGGTTCTACTAACGGAGGGCGTAAGCTGCTTGACAGTCGACTCATCCAATGTAATACGGTTATTGATCAGTTGTTTATAGGCATAATATTACCAAGTGTTACGTCATTGGTGCTGTTTACCTACTCCCCCGCTCACCATGAGGGGTAGTGTGTTTGAAGTTGAATCCGAGGGGACTAAGTTTCGGGAGACGACTTTGGTACGCTCTCAAAAGTCGGCAAAGTCCACTGGATTAGGTGGAGCTCTGGAGGCATAGAGTCTGAAGGGTAGGCGGAGACGTTCTGTTTTAGTGGAGGAAGATAGAGAGCTCTGTTTTGAAGACAAAGAATCACTTTACAAGTGCTTAGGGGATGTGTTTCTACCTGAGCGTCATAATAGTCAAAGGCTGCACGACGAAATTCGGTGAGGCGAGTTTTGAGTTCTCGTTGAAGGGCGTTTAGTTCGGCACGGTGTGCGGGATCACGGTGTCGTTGCCACAGACGACGGATCTTGTTTTTCCTCTTAAAAACGAAAAGGAGATAAGAGTATTGGCTGGGGAGGAAGAAGAAGGAGGTTGTGGAGTAGGAAAGGAGGTTTACAGGTTAATCGAGTTCCACAATTGTGCGAATTTGAATGCACTTAAAAGATGTCTCAAGCCTGGAGCGAGAAACATTCTTGAGTTGGCGTGGCTTCGGTCAGAGGAGGAAACAACGGCTGTTTGTAATGGTTAAGGGGTTGAAGGAACGAAGAAGTACAAAGGGACGTTGCGTACTCAGTCCCTAAGACTATTGGTTAGTTTAATTAATTAATAAGCTATTATCTTAATTAAAAAACCGCTGGGCAGTTGTTGAAACCTTGTAGACATCGTTGAGTAATAAACTACCTGGTTTAAAGAAAAAAGATTGTATTCAAAGCACTTTGATAAAAGTAGTTTCTCTGGAGATCCAAATGGACGCAAGCGTAGATTATTAAGTAATGCTTTAACAAACATTTCTTTGCATGATAGTAGTGATAGTACAAATAATCAAAATCATACAACAAATTGCATATCTATTTCACCATCATGTGAATATGAAACGCCGTTACTATCTTCAAACCATAGTCTAACATTACATGAAGCAATACTTGCGAAGAAGTCAATTATGAAATAGATTGTAGGTACTAGTAACGCGGACCATTTTAAAAAATGCATTTTGGCGCGCTTGCAACCCCAGCATTTCTCCTACGCGTCATACTACCTCATAGACGGCGTCACTCAAGACCTGTACGTTCGATCTCCACCGCTCCCCCACTTCTGAAAACCACCCTCTGGGCACTCGACAACCTCTTCACGCCAGACATGAATAAAAGGAGATGCCCCGGCCAGAAATAGCAGTTCTCATCTTGGCCGCACTCTAAAAGCATTCCTTAGGAACATTAGAGCTGCTCTACTGAGGGAGGACCGTATTCCAAACACAACAACGGAGTTTTCTTTTACGGAACCCAGGCCACAGGAACCACCAAGTGCGGTAGTGAAATTTAGACAGTTTACCTTAGTATTCTCGGACTTGTAAAACCGTTGTTAGTGCGCAGTCGCAGACTCACACATAGTTTTAAGTTTTTTCTTTCTTGTGTTTTTTTGTTAATTTTAGATTTATGAACGTTTCGATAAACTTTACCGTGAAACGAAGAACATTCTCATTACAATTTTGACGCCCAACAACGTGTGGCTGGTGAAAATGCAGACGCGAGCGTAGGTATAAAAATTAGCGGAACAACGGCTGCACCAAGGAGAAGCCCGACATTAAACCCGACAATGGCAACCCTCACGGAGGAACAATTCGCTCGGCTTATGACCCAACTACAACCGACCAATGGGGCACCACAGGCCAGCTTCGCACAATGCACCGCGCGATGCGCAGGCTCACGTGATCCACCGCTGGTAGAGGAGTTTATAAACGTTGCTTTCATCTTCATCAAGATAAACGACGACGATATCCTAACTGGACTATCACTGCTATTAACAGGTGTTGCGGTGATATGGTGGCAAGGCGTAAAGACCAAAGCCACAACCTGCGATCAAGCTGCCGAACTAATGCGTGGGGCTTTTGCTTGGAAAAAACCTAACAACCAACTGTACCAGGAAATTTTCAAAACCGCACAGGACAAATCAACATTAACAGACCTGTTCGTATGTCAAAAAAGGGCACTGTTCGGTGAGTTGACGGTAACGCATAACGAGTCGATTAAACAGGACATCTATTGAAACAGACCCGCCTTTTGGAATCAACGATAAGGGATCGCCCGACCGACACAGATAATTCAGGTACAGTATGCGACCAGGCATCTACAAATTGTCAAGCTATAAAAGTGCTAGGTGTCCCAGTCCCAGCCTTATCTTTTTATTGAGGATCAAAAATTTTATTTTAATTATCACATATATCACCTCATGAAATTAGTACGTAATCGGTTAATTGCTAATGATATCCTTGTTGGAGACGAAAGAGTTTCGTGGAGAGATAATACAGAATTATTCAATTATAATAAAAGTAAAACATCTGAAGCTCAATTTAGCGCATATTAACCCTAACAATTGTCAGAAAATGAAAGTAAAACTCGCGGTTCAAGTTTTTAGAGCATCGTAGTATTAATGACCGGAGTATTACGCAAACCTGCATTTATGTTGGCCGCGGGTTTTTGTACAAAATTAAATGACCTATTTGATTGTTTAAATGCTAGCTACTATTTGGATCCGAATCCCCTTCGACGCCGTTTTTCGATAAGAACTCCCCAAGTAGTGACGTGTTTAAAAGAATCTCGCAAATGACATAATACGTGAGTATATGACACTAGTCGTGAATCACCACCTTGTTTCGCAGGTTTAAAATTATCGTTAAATTTGGTCATTAACCCTTCCTCGTTCCTAATCCTCATCCTAATCCTTTCCTGGTGGATTCTACAATTAGAAGTCAATTTCATTATGCTCCTTCTAATACTTTTAAGGCTAGCGGTCCTCGTAATTTTATTTCCGAAGAACTCCATGAAATTGATAATGAACATCCTGTTAACGAAAGTTTCTATAGTTTACAAACACAAGCAAATAACCAATCCTATATTAAGCAAAATATATCAGAAAACTTTGAAAAACAGGCTAACTCTGTAGAGAATTTTCAGATATATTTCATGAAGAAAACAAAAAATTAAGTTTCACAAATAAAATTAAACAAAATAAAAACAACAGATGAAATTCCGGTACAGACACAATCCTATACATACCTGTACGAAATTGTGGCGTACTGTATATTCTTTAATCTTTCAATGATTATTAATGTCGATCATTCTCATGGTATGGTATAGGTATGTTTCAAGTTTATGCTTATTCGCGATTAACGTCATTCATACGGGCACAATGCTCCAATTGTTTTTGTCATTCATCTTCACCACCCCACTTACTTAGTCATAGTCATTGCTACCGTAAGCACGCCGCATGGTCTAATCTTAATATATATAAATTACGTGTCACGTTGTTTGTCCGCGATTGACTCCTAAATTACTTCACCGATTTTAATCAAATTTGTACACCGTGTGCAGTTTGAGCCAACTTGAAAGATAGGATAGCTTACATCTCAATTTATGATCGCAATATTCAATAGATGGCGCTATGTCAAACTTCCAAATGTTTCATATAAGTTACAATTTTAATAGCATAACCACCACATGTTGCTGAGACTAAAGTATAGGTTAAATTTATTTTGTAGTAAACGAAATACAGTGAATTTTACTTTTTCAATTTCTGGTGTTAGCATAGCCAGCCACGTGTTGCTTAGACTGAAGTATAAATTAAATTCATATTATGGTGAATATAATACAGTGAAATTATTCCTGCTTTTTAATTATTAGTGCTTCGTTGCTCAAAACTCTAATTAAACTATATACATGTAAGTATTATCCGTAGTTATATTATTATATATATTGCTGTTTCAATGCGCTATAATAGCATGTTTTTCAGTTTTTTTTTCAATATTTCAACGTTTAAATTATTATTTTCAGTCGAATGCCACCGAAAAAATCTAACCTCAACAAGGTGAGGAGCAGAGAGGCACGACGCAAACGCGTTGAAAGAGGTCATTAGTTGACAGAACAAATCACAATAAGAAATGCAGCCCAAAGAGTCAGGACAGCAGAGCATCTTGCACTAGAATGTCAATAACAGCGTGACGAACGTCTTGGACAGACTATTACAAGAACTCGAGCGGCACGAGAAAGAAACATAGCTGCAGCACGAGTACAAGAACGACAGAGGCAGCAGATCAGCCGCTCATAAACACGTGCATCATTTGTTCGTCTTGCTTTCGAATATGCCCCAGATGTTAACTACTTTGCGCATTCAAAAATTGCCATCGGTGCAATGGATAAAGTATGTCAATATTGCCAGGCATTGGAATTTAGGAATGAAACACCCGGCATGTGCTGCATATCGGGAAAAGTTGTGCTGTCACCTCTACCCACTCCGCCGGAACCTTTATTATCTCTTCTTGCTGGAGATTCAGATGACTCAAAATTATTTTTGCGTAAGATACGCAAATTTAATTCTTGCTTATAAATGACGTCATTTGGGGCAACTAAAATTTGCGGTCTCGCATCCGATGGACGTAATTTTGAAACTACATTCAAAATACAAGGCCAGGTGTACCATAAAATCATTGATGCCAATGCCGGATGATGATCCGAAATTTCTTCAAATTTATTTTATGGGCAATTGTGAAGAGCGCGTAACAACTCGGTGCCACTACAATTTCATTGAACAAGCAAAGGAAACAGCAATTGTGATGTTGCTGGAAACATTTCTAGATGATCAGAATCAACTAATTCGATTGTTTAAAAGATTTTCGCCACGATTGCAAAATGACAACTATCAAATCGTCATAAAAGTCGACAAAGTACCATTAGGTGAACATGCTGGTAGAATCAACGCTACAACTGTTGACGAGGTTGCTGTCTATCTAGCAATACATCTTGAAAACGGTCAACGTGTATACTTCACTGAAGAAAATGTTCTCCAAATAGCGCTTGAGGCTCCAAAAACGACACTAACTGAATTTTTCACATTGTGTCAAAAATCTGATTTTTTTGGCCAATTCGCAAAAACATTGATATATACTGATGTTCCACGTTATTTCACAATGAACAAATTCGGTAAAAAATGGGAACCACGAAAACAAGGAAAACCACATCCTTCCATCACCGGCATATTCAAGCTAAGACATTAGGGCGACTTTACACAGTACATCCAAAGCAACTTGAGTGCTTCTATTTACGTTTGTTATTGGTGAATGTTCCCGGACCAACGTCTTTTGAATTTCTGCGAACAGTTAATGGTCGAGTATTCAATACATACCAAGATGCATGTCGTGAAGTGCAATTGCTAGAAGACGATAACCATTGGGACTTAACACTTGCTGATGCCGTATTGACATCAACGCCCAATAACATTCGTCAGATGTTTGCAATTACTTTGACGATATGTTATCCATCGCAAGCACAAACTTTGTGGGAAAAATATAAAAATTGTATGACAGAAGACATATTGCACCAAATTAAACAAACAGATCAATGCCAAAACATAGATTATACGCCAGATGTATAATGAAGCGTTAGTGTTTATCGAGGGTTTATGTGTTTTAATTTCAAATTTTGTCTGGTGATTTCCGCCAGACCTTACCATCAGGCTATATTGGCAGCCAAAAATGTTGATGTCGACGAAATTAACTTCCAGATACAAGAGTTGTTACCAGGCGATCTGATGGCTTTTAAATCAATCGATCTGTTGTTAATGAAAATGATGAATTTTTAAATTAACTAGATATACCTGGAATGCCACCACATAATCTTCGATTAAAGATTGGTTCACCTATTATTCTCCTGCGTAATTTGAATACACCTCAATTATGCAACGGTACGCGTTTGGTCATCAAAAAGATCACCGGAAATATTCTTGAAGCAACCATTTTAACTGGAAAGTTTAAAGGAAAAGTGGTCCTGTTGCCACGTATTCCAATGATACCGTCAGATTCTACCATATCCTTCAGAAGGTTACAGTTTCTAATTCGTTTAGCTTTTGCCATGTCTATAAATAAGTCTCAAGGTCAAACAATGTCCATTTGTGGTTTAGATTTGGAAAATCCATGTTTTTCTCATGGGCAGCTATATGTTGCATGTTCACGTGTAGGAAAACCGTCGAACCTATCTGTTTTAGCTAACTACAGGTTAACCAAATATATTGTGCACCGATTACTGCTAAATTAAATTGAAATTAAAAGTGTTTATAATTTAAAATAATAAATATTATTGTCAGA